AAAACCTGCACTGAAATAAGCAACCTCTTCATGGAATTAAGATTTCCTGTGAAAAAGAAATACAAAGAGAGCCAGACATGTCAACCAGTTCTCAGAAACGTGCAGAATACACAAATAACTTCCTGAGAAAACAAGCACGGCACAAATATCCCGCTTCTAACCGTCATTACGCTACAGCTAATGTGGATGCAGTGAGATTAGTAAGCACTGGCACCTCCTTACCAGAACAGACGTGCTAGCACGTAGGACTTTACAGTAACTCCACCAGGAAAGAACTATGTTGCATTAAAAGCTGCTGCATTGAAAGTCTTGGTAAATACCAGACAAAGCTTTTTCCTTCCTCCTTACTCTTGAGGCTCTGGCCAACAATCTCAAACCTTGGGTCCACGGCCATCCATTCATTCTTATGGCACAGACACTCTCTTCTGTGGAGTGAAAGGTCTCCCTTCTGCTACAGGCATCCTGGCCAGGAGAAGCTGCCGACCTTTCTAGTGCGGAACACGGGCTCTATGAGCACCTCACTACAGGGAATGTGTTATCTTCTCACCTGTCCATCTGCATCCGTATATCCAGAGCCAAATTCTGTGTGTGCTGGATCTCACCTGGCCAGCAAACTAGGCAAAAAATACTTGGGCTATGGGAGGAAGCAGCAAAATAGAGTATGGGAGCAGGGAGGATATGGAGGAAATACTAGCTAGTACAAAAAAAAGAAAGGGGATACAAATTCCTGTGAGAAAAAGAAAGCCACAAATTCATAAACAAAAAGCTAGTATTAGTCTGAGTTTGAACTGGATTTAAAAGGGTAAAAATATCCACTGCAAAACCACTAGTCAACCAGTCTCTTCTATAATTATTTGAGAAACAGCAGATACCAACACAGCCTTTATTTTGCTCCCTAAGCTATTGCATCCTTGCTACACACAAATGTGGTAGAGCCCAGAGACACTACCCTGGTATGGTCTCATATACCAGCCCTATGCTTCCAGTGGTAGAAGAATTCAGAAGTACACAATGCATTTTAGGTTAAGCTTGGAAGTAACCTGTTTCCAATTTCTTTCTCTGAAAGCTGGAGAGCCATAATCACAATAGTAGGAATACTTCAAGGTGGCTTTTTCCCCCCTTCTTCTTGACTAGTTAGCTGAAGAATTGGACAGGAACCAATAGGACATATATCAGGATAAATGTCCAATATTGGCACCCTAGATTGGTGTCAGAGCTTCCTGGGAGCGCTGCCACTGCCCATAGAAGATGCAGCGACACCATAACAGAAGGATCCTATTAAACCAAGTAGAACTTTGATAAAAAGAATAGCCACGATGGTGCCTTCGGGAAAAGAGTCAGTCTCGGATTCTCTTTTTTCTCTGTGCCATAAGATGGATATGTAATGTTTGCAAAAAATTTGAAAACAATTCTTTCAAGCAATTCATATTCATTAGCATGGCAGCGTTTTCCTCCTCTGCCTGGAGGAGACATGTGTGGCACAAACCATCATCCTCAGTTCTAATGACCACGGGTTAAGTGCCTCTTGATGCTCTGTGTTTTCACAATACATCTGTGGATAGTAATAGACTCAGTCTAGAGAGCTTTGGTCCCTTGACAAATGGTCTCCACAGAGAGCAAGCAGAACCAGGGCACTTAAATAACACCACAGCCACTAATGATATGATTATGGAAGGAGATAATGTAACACGAATGACACTCTGCAGTTTCCAGCAGTTAAGACACATGAGAACAGAGCCTATTAGAAAAGCAGCACCCATTTTTCTTTTTAAATAGGTGGAAAAAAAGACAAGAGAGAAAAAGCTATTTTAACATAAATAGCTCATTCCCAGTAGGATTTGTGGTCTAAAGGACTTATGGTAATTGAGATCTAGAGCCGCAAAAGCAGTTCTCAAGTCTGGTCATCTCATCACTCTACATTATACACCATGATGTCAACAACTTTAGAGAGGCAGAAGGAACAGTCTATGCATGTCCAGGGAGATCATGTGCAAGTGCACAGCTCTTATGGATGAATATACATTAGAAGAGGATTTTTTTTTCATCTGGAGACTTTCCTGCAGGAAGTTTTGCAGAAAGCCACAAGCCCAAAGCCTTATTTCAATATAATTCTTTCTACAGCTGTGATTTTTAAATCCTGCTCTGCACAGTTATTCTAAAGCAGTGGCCAAAATGCCAGACCACATTCACCCCGGCAGTGAAATACTGCAAGTGCAATTCATTCAGTATATCATGCTACAGTTTATGAGATCTCACTTTCATATTTTTTCTCCTAGCATTAATTCCTTTTCAATATCAAATTACCATTTATATAAAAATCTTTGAATTGTCACAGTGGATCAGAGATGTTTTCACATTTCCCCTCAGTTTCTGTAAACTCACTTTTTTTTTTTTTAATTTAATAAGTCAAACCCTCCAGACTATTAATCATTTCTGCTGCATTTCCCTCAAACCCTTCCAGTGTCTCTCTCCCATCTTATGAGATTTCCCCCTGGGGAAGGCACTGAAGTTCAAAGCTGGGAAATATTCCCACTGAAGTCAATGCAAAGATATGTGCCACTAGCAGGATGTAAAATTCTATCTATAGTATAAGCCCTGTATGGCTTAAAGCATTTAAAAAGTGGAGCCTTGTGCACTGGTCCCTCAATCTTATCCCCAGATGCTCCCCTAGGTCACTAATCCAGCTTTCCTCAGCGAATCTGGGACATGGATGGTAGCTGCTGCTGAGAGAAGCTGTTATTCTAATCCATTTTGTTTACAGTACTTGATGAAATAAGATATCTCCGTAATTCAGACAGAAAGGAATCTCCCTCTTCCCCAGATGCTCAAACCAAGAACTGCAGAAAGATTTATCCTAAACCTTCAAGGTGGGACAGTCTAGCACACTATATGAAGCACGGCAACAAGGCAGCACGTCCTTCATTCTCTCATTCCACTGCATCACGGATTCATGGCATCCGTGTGGCATCCAAAGCTATTTGTGCTTCTGGGCTTCAGGTCAGAAAGAACATGACAGATACACTGGAGGTTTGCAAAGATGATGCCTCAGTGACACACATATTGAATGCAGAAAAGATCACACACATCACGAAGTTCATTACTTCATTCCCACCACTGCAGCAGCCAAGGCAGGAAGGAGGATGACGTTCTTCACTCCACTCCAGCTCTTTGTAATCAGGAATGATAAAAACTCCCTGTGGAGCTGAATATCAGCTCTATCATGGGAGTGCAAGGGTCAGGAAAAAGCAAGTTCAAGTAGAGTTGGTGAATGTACTGCAAAGAGCACGATGGGAACGAGCATCTGAGGAGGAATGTCCAAAAGATAATGCCTCTAGATGAAAGAGTGAGGAGAGAGCCATGAGACGCTCGCCATAAATCAATACATTGTGTGTCTGTCTAATCTGCTCTAAGATCTTTCACTCTGGGCAATAAGGCCCTCCTCCACTGCCTTCCAGAACAAACTACTGCAGAAAACTCATTCTGGCTGCTTCAGGAAGGGTAATGGCAAAGGACAGCCAGCAACAAAACAAGATTCTCATTAGAGAAGGAACCAAAATGACGAAGCTTTTTCTTAAATGTCATCTGCACAGTCATGTCAGCAGCAACACCACTCCTGCAGCCATGCATAAAAGCTAGGACTTTCTCTGTCCTCTGAACCATGGATATATTTTCCTCTGGAGGCTAATAACAAAAGGAAAAACAAATAGAGCCAGACTGCCTTGCATACCTCCTGGGTGGCCTGCTATCTGATACACAGCTGGCCCCACTACTTGGGTTCAGCAGAGAAAAACAAGACTCCTTTTTGTATCAGGGAGAGAATTCTGGTCACTCTTGGTGCCCAGTTGGTACTGCAGAATCTGGGTAGGCCTGTGTACTTGCAAAGCCACTAGTGACGTCTACAAGCTACACCCTTACTCATGCCTGGATGTAATCAGAAGGAATCTAGAGGTTACCTTTCAAAGATTGTTTCAAACTGTGAACTCTGCTGAGCTGGACTGTTTTAAAAGATGTATAAGAAGCTCATCATATGTAAAATTTAAAACAGAACTATAGGAAAAAATGTTACTGGAGATGAGTTTGCTGGTTTAATGGAAGTCAGACTTGGAAAAGGTATATTTCATGAATCATTTTCTAAGGACTGGACAGAAATATTCCCTTACACACCTTCTAAACCAAGACCAGGAGAATTTTAGAAGCTGAGGCACAGATATGTATAAATCCCATACACCAGGGACGATGCAACATCAGAGGATAACACCATAGCCTTTCAGCCAATAATGCATCACCAGAGACCAAATTCTAACCCTATCTTTATCGCTCCTAAGGTGTGTATGAAGTTCTCTTTTATCTGCCCTCATGTAAAACTTGAATCAAATGAATATGCCAGCGCTGTGATATGGTTCTCATACTTGATATGACTCTTAAATCAGTTTATTTAAATGGAAAGCTACTGTCTTTTTTTCTCCTGCCCAGTACAGTCAGCGTCTCATGAAGAACTAGTTGTGAAGAAAAAATATTTCACTATTTACTTTAAAATATAGACTCTGCTTTTATTAAAGATTTGTTCCAGGGTGCATATCATGGGGTGACAAATGCTTTTGTCTTCTGCTCTAAGTAACAAACAATATTATTCTTAAGAAAGAAAAATCTCAACATTATATCAAACCAAGAATACCCTGCACACCCAGCATATATCACAGGATGAACTGTTGTCTGTAACTGCCAGCTACAGCTCAGTTACAAGTCAGGCCAAAGGTCTAACTCAACTGCATACAAACACCAGCCAGGGCTGGATGAGCTCAGTAATGGCCATAAAAGAACTGGACAAGTCGTTAAAGAGGATGTTAAAGCGTTAAAGAAATCTGAAGAAAGGAAGATGGTGGAAACGTCCAGTAGGGCTAAACACGTAAATAGTAGCAAGTGAAATACATATAATATTTCTTTGAAGTGACACTGCTTACTGCACAAATAGGATAATGATGAATTCTTCCCCAGATTACCTGGTAACCCTCAGTCTTCTTCTGGCACCACTTCAACAGAGCATTTCTCTTCGAGCCTCCATACTCCCGGGCCAGGGCTGCCAGTGGGTCCTTTCTTTCCACACTAATCCAGAGAACAGGGGAGAAGAAGATTAAGATGCTTACAGTCTCTCTTTTCTTTCTGAGTTTGCAAATCAAATCCTCAGGACAAAACAGGCAGCACAGAACCTAAATGGAAGCCTAACTTTGATAGACTTCAGGCATACGTTTGCTATTTACCTTTACATGAGACAAATCATTTGGTATGATGGGTATCATCATCACAGACAGCTAAAAAAATAGCAGTACATGGGTATTTGAGAAGACGCCCCCTTGGATGGGATGTTTTCACTCAGCATTTCTCCTATTATTTTCATCAGCCGAAAAATTGCCAACCGCAGGTTATATTGTGGTTATTATAATGTGAATTTTGATATTTGGTCCTGACATAGCTCTGGCAGTTTGCTAACTCAGAAGACATCTATTTGATCAGGAAGGCACTGGGCAGAGTAGGCAGCAGTGCCTCCTCTAGCAGCAGGGCTCCATCAGCTTAGAACGTTATCTCAATGTCAGGCAATGCCATCAATCTTTGCAGCAGGCTGGTTTTCCCCACTAGCTGGGCTGGTACCTGAGTTTGCTGGGGGGTTTCAAGTTGCTGGGGGTGGAAGCAAGCATCCTGCTGCTGAAGGCCATGGAGGGCTTGCTCAGGGACTCCAGGGAGGGGCTTTTGCGGAGGTAATGGTCTGGCTTCAGCTCTTCGGTTCTCCCCTTCAGGAGGTCTGTGGGAATAAAAAAAAAAGCTGTCAGTTTGCAGCCTGAGGAATGTGATTAATCGCTGTCCTGCCACCCAGCACACAATATGTAGTCTGTTGTTTTGATTCTAAACAAATGTACTCATTTGTTCATTAAACACACATGGGGCTAGGAAACCTTGAGCAGATTAGAGGTGATCATAACAAGGAATGGCTTTGATGATTTCAACAGTACAGCCTGCCTGGTTTCCTGTGATTGATACTCCTGCTGGGGGGTAGGGGCCTCAGGTGAATGGGGGGAAATACCAAAATCTACAGTCTTAAAGGTTCAAAAGCTGATCCTCAAACATCTTCACCAGATAAATGACCAGCCCTCGTATAATACTTTTTTTTCCTGCTATTAGTAGAATCGTAACAAGATTCTTACCTCTTGAATACAACCCAGCTCAGTAAAAGGTATTTATTCACTTATGCTTGACATCCTACCTAACATGATGCTGGGAAGCTGCAAGACATTCTTAGCAGCTGCATTTGTATTTTTATTTTATATATAGATGCATATATGTAAAAATGCGTGTGTTTCTACATATACACACACACACACATACATATAAATCAATAAAATTATCAACATCAGGTTGCATTAATACTAAGTCTTCAAAGAGAACAAAGACATCATTGAAATTAAATTCCCTCTCCTTACGAATCAGGCCTGAGTTCGAATGGTGGATAGGCAGGGAAGGTTGGCTGCTGCTTTTCTGTAGAAAATCCACCCTCCTCCCCAGCAATGTAACATTTGGGTCATATTAAAGACCTCGCAGGACCCTGCTGTGACGCTAGTCAGATGGAACCAGCCAAAAGATTATTATGGACACTACTTCATCTGGAATTTCCTTGGGGATATTTTTTCATTCAGTGTTGTTTATATAGGGCTTGCAACAACCGCCTTCTAGGATTATTCAGATTGGAACCAGAGCTATTGCAACTTTACAGTAAGCCTTTGCTGAGGATTACTGGACCTAAATCAAACACAGGTACAATGAGAAACTGCAGATATGGGAACTTGTTAGATAAGGGACTATAAATTGTTACCATAAAGTGGCTAATAAAATATCTATGGATTTCAGTGGATTTTCACAGAACTGTTGTCCACAGGTCAATAACAGCAAACATCCACGGCCTGAAGTCAGATATTTATTACCAGGGAGGCGCATTACATTACCCTGTTGACTGACTGCTTCATTATACAGTCGATTGGTGGAGATCTACATGGCCTTATGTACTGTTTAGGATCAGTACATACTCATGCAAGACATTTTCTGGAAGTCATCAGAGAGAAATAGGTAAATGCTACTTGTTCCTTTGGCAACTTCTGCTTTTTTTGGCATTTACTCTTGCAGGAGAAGGCAGGAGCACAGGCAGGATGCTGCTATTTGCTTATCCTGCCATCCACCCTACAAACCTCTTCGCTGCCTGTATCTTTTTGCCTTTGACTGGTGAAAGTGTCATCTTAGTAGATGACTTGAAGAGTCTAAAAATGAAGCCATGTTCTAATTTCTATCTTCTGCTAGCAAACTAATGTAGAAAATCCATTCTACCACTGAAGCAGCTATGATTGATTTTCTGACCCTTCCTGCTGTTTCAGTGAGGTTTAGAAGAATATGATATTCCGCTGGCCTTAAAAATGGGTAATCTATTGGTATTAGTTTTGATTCCAATGCAACAGCTATATTCAGGACTAGATAATCAAAACAAAGGTCTCGAGAGAGAAGAGAAAAGCAGCACTGGTAGAAAAGAATATTATGTGACATGAGAATAAAAGCAAAGCATGAAATAAAAATAAATACATCTCTTGAGAACTCTCAAAACAAACTATACCAAGCCCGAATCTGACTCCTCCTAAAACAGTTGCATCTGTATCTGAAATGTTTGATGTATTTCAAATGAAGCTCACTTTAAAAACAAACAAATCCCCAAAAGACAGTACTTTGGATTTGCTCCAGATACATACATGTCGAGCAAAATCCAATCCTCTCCAGTTCCAGTGCATGGATTAGAGAGGTGCCATGGGTAATTTGGAATAAATAAAGAGGGTGAGTTTGTGTTGGCAAAGCATAGCAGATCCGTTCTTTTCTTCCTTTTTCATTTTTTTATTGCTTTCTTCCCTAAGGCTATGATAAAGATGGGAATGGAAGCAACATAAAATTAGTAAGATCTCTAAAAGAGAGGCTTTTAAGACACTGTTTTCATGCTTCCTTTGACCATACATGAAGGGGAAAAATGGCCCAGACAGGATCAAAGTATAAATGACAAGCTTTTGCTGGCAATAGAGGCAATATTTGAGTATTTACTGCAATTTACCTGCAAGAGGAAGGTCTGAAAGATCTGTGTGTCTGGCAACTCCTTTACTGGCTGTTTTTCCATTATTATAAACAGAATGTCTCTGTTAAACAAACAAACGCATAAAAACAATGAAGAAATATTAATCACCATGCTTAAATGGGCAAGCAAAAAGAAGAGATGTGTCTGCTATCTCAAGACTATAAAGCAGGCAGAGGGAGACAGGAAGCTTTCTGCAAGGTATCAGCTTGTACACAGAGCTGCCTAAATGGTTGTGAAAAACAAAGGACAGAGAAAATAACCTTAGCTGGTAGCACATTGCTTCCTAAACTATTCCCATTTTTATTTGCACAGATTTTTCTTGCCAAATATGATGTGGTGTAAGAAACTCAAAGCATGAAAATTTGCTCCTAGCACTGCCTCTGTTCCCAGCATCCTGAATCAGGCCAGTGGGATTCTTGTCTCTGCAGCCCCTGTGCCAGCTTTCCGAGTAAATACCCACTCAGGCGGGCATTGATAGAAGGTTCCCAGACATCTGCTTAATCCTATTCTTTAAACTTCCTTTGCTGGTTCTCTGAAGGAAGTGTGCTCACACGCTTGCTAAGTTCTCTTTCAAAGTCACCCCCCTTTCTTCAGGGCACTCCCCTAAAGCTCTAGACTCTCAACTAGTTTTTCCCCCAGATTCAGAGGGAGATTTCTTGGTATAATTCCAATAGCTTCCCCTTTGAACTGACTTAGGACAAAATGGGTCGCAATTTTTAGCAAATATCCTACTGGCTTAGATTGGAAAAATACCTCAAGCTGCTTCATATATGAATATAAATGAAATCAGCAGCACAGAGAGATTAAAAAAAATCAAAAAAAAAAACAAAAAACAAAAAACAAGCTCTTTAATTTCCTGAGAAATGACTTCAGACAAGGCAGGGACGAGCAGCACTGTCACCATATGAATGGTCTTTTGTAGCAATGAATGAACCAGTTACAGCTTGTGATAGGACACTACTTTTTTTTAATGCATTTACATTACCTGCTAGTATTCGAACAGCATGCCAGTGCTAATTTTACTTTACATAATATATATGATCAAAGTCAAGTATCAGGGCTTGGTCTTAACAGATAAGGGGAAAGATCTGCTCTTCCTGAGGAGGTAAAAAATAAGATCAAGGATATCAAAACTTACCTGATTTTAAGTGTGGTATTATTTAATAGTTGTGAGGCTAACTGATTTTTCAGTGGATAACTACTTTATTCTTTTACACAGGTAAGTCTCAGTAAGAGAAATATTATTTTGGTCACTAAATCAGATATTCATGAACCTCAGCAGAGCTTGACGAAGGCCTTGGTTGTATCCCAAACATCTAGACATGTATTTAGAACAGTGTCTGGTTCATTCATTTTTCTGATCAACAGCAATTAAAGCCCAAAACTGTATTCCAAAGAGTTTACATCCGTCCACCGAGAGCCTGAGTTGAAGACAAAGGCAAGCTCACTTTGATCCTCTTTGTTAGAGCTGCCGCGTTTGATGTTCCACAGCAAATAAACAGATGAGTTTCCCCTTCCCCTTGCCCACACGTGCCTGTTGGCTGTGTCATGCTGCAATGAACACTGCATCTACCCATTTCACCTCTGCAAGGACAGAAAGATCTTCTTGTACCTGCATGGGGGAGACAGCAGCCGCTGGGGCTGTTCTCACGGGAATCCCACTGAGAGGGCTCCTGGGGACCTTGTGAACTGGGATATTCTGTCCAGTGCTACCTGTAGGGGACAATCATGACAAAACATTAGTATTTCACATTCACCACCTTTCTCGCTCGTGTTGGAACAGCAATCGCTAGCACAGTAACATTCCACAAAAGTATTTATGCACCACACATGGACAGAAAACATCCATTAAGCAGCAAGAGGTGGCACAAAACGACAAAAACTGCTTGCTGCTACACAAAGGTGGCTTTTTTTACTACAAAGTGCAGTGTTCAAATACCTGGGCATCCTAAGTCAAATGATTTGATGAGTGACTTCACAGTGGCTGCCGACTCGGCCGGCGTGGGGGACGCTCTGCTAATGCAGACTCCGTGCCAGCGGTTGGCAGCATCTGTTTCTAGAGATTCTACCTCTTCAGCTGTCAGCCTGCAATGCAGAAACCAAACCCGAGTCAGTGGCAACAGGAATGGAAAGCAAAGTTTAAAGGTATGTATATAAAATATGCAGTAAAACAAGCTCGACAACGTACATGTTTTATTGCAATGCCCATAACACGGACCCTCTCGTTATTATAATGTTCTTTTTCTGGAGTGCCTGGCAAACATGAAGTCATTGAGTCTCAGAAACTTTCCTGTGTTGTTAACCATATAATCTCCAATCTCTTCCCTTCAGGGTTATCGTGAAAAGAAGCAGTTTTGACGATGATTTGTGAGTAATCATAGACAATTAACTTGACACAAACTTCCACTGTAGCACTGGGGCTAATGGGCTAATGTGATCCTCAGTTTATAAACAGGAAAATAACTGAAGGGAAAAAGATATAATTTTATTCTCTGTAATTTAACTGGCATGACCACTACTGCAGTAATTGTTATTGGTTAAAATATAACAGTTAACAAAATAATAAATTGGACAGCATTCACAGAAAAACCATGAAAATCAAATCAGAAAATATGTTTTATAACGAAAGACTTCGACAACTCAACTTTTGAAACTAATGCACAAGAAAGTACGCTGAGCAAATAAATCCTCAATCACAATCCATAAGCAGGGAAATAAAACTGATAACGAATGTTTCATCCAAGCATACGGAGGAATAATAAAGTTTAATGGCTACAGGAAAGATGGGCAAATTCAAAATAGAAACAAGGCCCCCATTTTGACAGTATCACTAAGTTACTCCATCAACTGATCATTTTTAAGCCAAGGTTAGATACTGGACTTACAGAAATGTGCACAAGAAAGCCCACAGCATTGAACTTATCTAGTATATCCATATGATGCTCCTAGTCATACATTTATGGATCTGTCTGGCTTTGCTTAGAGCTGGCTCTGTACTTACCTCATAGCTCACCGGGTAGACTTTGAGCAGAATTATCTACTTTAGCTTAGGAAAGCCGCAATCAGATAACAAAGTCTAGTCACCTAAAAGGAGAACCTTTGTTACACGGTTTTTCTGAAGCGTGTGGTGACCTACAGGTCCTGGGGCACCATCACTTTCCTCTGCTTTGAAGCCAAGTAGACATCAAGAGCTACATGCACAGGAAATCAGCAGTAATTTCAGAAGAGGCCTGCAGGACCCCATAAAGAAGTGCCTATAAGGCTGAACAATTTTGACTGAGCTAAAAATAGAAGTCAAGAGTCTTTTTTTTTCTTCTTTTTCCTTCCTTTTGGCATCCCTGCCTACAAAATCCAAGGGGCTAAAGGGTGGCAATGAATAAGAACGAGTGACTCATGCTTCTATTTTTGGCAGAGCACTGAGGAGGTGCTGTCTTTAAACAGACACGGGCTATTTCTTTGCTAATTCATTCTCACCCCTTGTGTGCCAAGGGAGCCTGCTGAGGCAGATGGCTAGAAAAAAAAAGTTATTTCATTTCTATTCTCCATTTAACCCAATGACGAGGACAGGCAGCCTGGATGAGATTCACTGAGCTCAGAAGGAGCCAGTGTTTCCCTGATTAACATTAACTACTGCTCTTCCTTTTTCCCTTTATGGTTTCAAAGACATACACAACAAATCAACAGGCAATAGCATCTGCCCTTTATTTATAAGAAAACACAACAGCTAAAGGAGCGCCCTGCTTCTACTGAAATGTGGGGGAGGAAGAGATTTCCGCCCCAGCATGCCAAGCTATCCAATAAAATCTATTTTGCTTTCAATAATTAAATTCACCATTATACAAGAGCTTTGTGTATTTAGGGAGGCAGAGCACGAAAGACATTTCTGAAATATTATCAGAGTATAAAAGGAATAGTAAAAGCCTGTAGGCAAAGCAGAACCTCTCGAGAAGCAAGCAGGCCGAAGGTGTGTTCCAGGCAGCCACCGCATTAGCAGCTCAGTGGGAGTCCGTTCTAGATTTTATTTGGAGAGGAAGTTTTTATTTGCACCAAGCGTTAGCTCATTGCAAAGAACAGGCGGCTGTCAGTGCGACAGCTCCCGTGCTCAGCCAAGCTACAAGCCAGTATCTACCTCCAAGAACAGCTCAGATCTCTCAGACTAGTCGCCCCAGGCCAGTCTTTGATTGCAAAAGGATGCAAATATGTGAAACAAAGCAGTTGCATCAGCCCCATGCCACACGGCAGGCAAGTCTCAGAAATCACACCCTGCTTTACTGTCGCTGTATTGAGTAGTTGCAAAGATTCAAGGGCTAGAGCTGCTAATGGTTCCAGGTTTGCTAGGATGCTTCCTGTAGTGTTAGTCTGTGTATTTGTATTAGGCTTATTTTTGAAGCAACCTTCTAGATGAAACATAATCATTTCAGCAAATGCAGCCATTTCAGACTGCAAAACTCAGCATGAAAGCTACGCAGAATGGTGCTGAGATATATTTGCTTTAACCAACACACAAGGCCACGCAGCAGTGCAGAGTTACAAAAGCTGGTGCATACTTTTCATTTTTAAAGAGAAGAACCTGCATGATAAGGTGAAGCATACATGCACACATGTATGTTTAAAAATAAAAAAGCAGCAGATGAGCACAACTTGCATTCAATTATTCAACTGAGGACAGCATAGAACTTGACTTACAAAAATGAACAACAAGCCATTATTTCCAACTAAAAATGACTCCTACAGTACAGAATTAATTTAGCTTAGCACAGCTTAGGCCATCTGGGAAGACTAACCAAGCCCTGATGCAAAGAGGATGGACTTGAGAAAAATCTGCCATCTCTGGCTGTACACTTTCCTTGAAACAAGGATGAATGGTTTACATAACAGAGCTAGAAGCTGCAAGTGCAGCTGGCTCAAGCGGAGCAGCTCCAGGAGGACGCAGAGCACTTTAGCACAAAGAAATTCAAACGTGCAGAACCTCTTCACACAACCACTGCCCCGTTTCCTTCCTCAGTGCACCCACCTTTTCTTTAATGGCAAGGTTTGGATTTTGCAGACAACAGAGAACCAACAAGACGCAATCCCTTCTGTATTTAAAGTAAGGATTTTGGCAACAGCAGCCTTCCCGTGCTCAGAAATTTCTGAATTGCTCTGATGATCTTGTAATTACAAGTGCTCTATATCAACAGAATCATAGTTTCAGAAATAATTACTGTACAACATCATCTTTGACACAGTTCCTACCATCGTAGTCATGAACGCTCCCGAGCCCCAAAGGACACAAAGAAGAGAGACACAGAGCTGCTGATGCGCGGAACAGAAGGGAGGCCGAGAGCAGGCAGCAGACAATTCCAGACACTTATACATTTATTTGGCACTTCAATATATATTTCTTAGAACATAAAAATCAAAATTCAACAGCTGCCAGCATGGAAAAGAAAGGCAAAACAAGGGTGCATGTGTGTACACTCCTGTAGCATGGCACAAAGGAGAAGGTCACATCAAAGCCACGACAGCTCGCAGAGCTCTCCAGCTCAGCCCGCTCTGAGACCAGATCCCTGCTAGGTCGTCACGTCCAGGTGCAAAAGGTGGGAGCCCCACAGCAATGAAAGGAAGTTCCAGTCCTACAATGAATCCTGACAGTCACCTGGTAGAGATGGCAACTTCTTAGTTTCTCTTTAGCATCCAAGTAAAGCTCTCTCCAGGTGTTTCCAGTTGCAAGGCTGAACACAAGGAGATTCTCCCTGATTATCTATTTCACCTGAGTTTGGGATATGAGAACAGCTCCTTCTGAGTGGATATTTATTAGGGGCTTGATCTGTACACTTCCTTTCCATGTGAACTCTGCCTCGGCAGTTCTCTGAGCCAGGACAAACCTCCTGTGGGGTGGATGTTCTCCGCTGAAAGCCGAGCGGGATGTGGTGCTCGGGCATCCCGTGCTCCTGAACGTGCACCGGGCCGGACACGCCACCCGGCGGCAACGCGGCAGCAAAACCTGACCCAGGACAGCGGCGGGATGAACCACCTCGGGCTGCCAGGCACTTCTCCTAGTGGCCTCCAGCAACTGAATTTCCCCATGCAACTTGCCCAGCTGCGAATCCAGAGATCACGTGAGTTTGTGTGTGCGTGTATACATACAGACCTGTATGCATATGGATATTTAGACACACGTATAGAGATTTATGAATATAGTATTATACGGAGAACATACCATGTGTATGTGCATTAAGGTTTACCAAGCAGACATACACATTCAGTTTCCTTTTTGTTTAAACTTAAAATTACATGTCTGAATTTCTGTTTCAAGGAAAATACCCCATCACTCCAAAAAGAAACATCAGCTATTTCAGTCTCAAAAATCTCCGTGATTACTTCCTATGGCTTAGTTGATTCAAAATGAATTCAGAATGTTTTTTTTGCCTCAAGGAGTCTTCGGAAGAGGGAAGCCTTCTGAAACAGAGATGCAGGCTCCTGCCCACAGGGAGAGGATGGACCTGAGAGCAGCATTCACACTTTGCGACACACTTCACTTTGGCAGAGCGATAATAAACTGGAGGTGTTCTCTCCAGCTGAAACTTCCCTTCTCAACTGCAACTGAAGGCATGTCCTGAAGAGTCTCACAAGCCTGGCTTTGCTTCCACCCAGAGCTGTGTTAGCTGGTCGAGATCAGGCACCTACAGAGAGAGAGAGAGAGAGACAACACAAGTTATAAGGAGCAATCTGATGCCCACACTGAGGCATAGCCCTCTATTTTACAGCTAATCATTCCATTATCATTACTTACAGACAAAAAGGAAACTGCTGCTGGTGGAGCTAGGGCAGTCTGGAAGGAATGGCTTATCACTCTGGGACTTGATGTGCAAAACAATACAAAATACAAGAAAATCTGTTGTTTGGATAGCAAGAAATTACATAAGGAGAGGCAGGGGGCTTTGCCCTCCTCTCACCAATTAGTATTATACATTCAAATTAGGTATATGAACTTGCCCAGGTAACTGGAATTTCTCTGCCTGTCAGAGTTTCTGTTTCAAAGTCCTTATACCAAAGTTGGTTGGATAATTTCCACTTAATACCAAAAACTCTAAGGAGCGACTAAATGCAGTGTGAAGAAGCAATACATCAAGATTCACAGATTTCATCAGATCTTACTCTGACATTCTAGCTTGCTCATTTTAAGTGTGAGTGGAATGAGCTGATCAGACCTCTGTAAGACAGAACAGCTGCAAACACAAGCACACAGAAGCAGCACATCAGCACATACAGACTGGCAGCAGGTTTTAATACATGTAGAGTACAGGCTTAATTTAGGAGAAAAAAGCACGTAACACAGGCCATGCTGTGGCACTTGAGACTTTAGGAGGAAAAACAGAAACAAATTAGTGGGTTACATTACAATCCTCCTTTGGAAGATTTGGTTAGATTTTTCTCATTTTTCTAGGTAACTAACTCCTTTAATTTTGGATGCAATTTCTCTGGCTCCCCAGCACTACTCCCAGCCCAACTGCCTTCCCTGGAAGTTCTTGGTCCATGATATTCAACGTTACATTCCCACTGCATATGCAGCAGGACACCGGGCAGCAAAATCCTGTTGAGAACTTGGAAACAGATTCTAAGAAAGACGTTCAAGCTCTCATGGCTGCTGAATACTACCTTGTTAAAACAGGCTTGGAAATGTGTGCATATGAAGCCAAAAGAGGGTCATTTTTATTCAGGGTCCTTCTTGCAATAATTTTCCTTTGCATTACTGACCACAAAATACTTTTTTTTTTTTCCTTCCTTTTTTCACCACTTGGATATCTGTTCCTAAAAGCATCTAGGAAAAACAGTTTATTTCCAAGGTGAATTTTCTGAAAGGTGGGGACTTAATACAGCATCATAGGGCAATTCAGGAGTTCAGCTAGTCCAAGCTCCTGCTCAAAGGGTCAGCTATTAGGTTAGAACAGTTTATTCAGGATTTTATGCCATGTGGTTATTAAAAACTTTAGAAAAAGGATGATGACTGCCTAACCTCAAAGTTCACCGCAGTTACATAGTGATGTATTTTAAGTTTTTCCATTTTATTACAAAGAAGCAGCATTAATTGGGATGTAAAGTATCATGAAAAGCCTGCGAGTCACTAAAACATGTGAGTTAATCAATTTGTTTCAATCAGTACTAATTTGGGACAAATGAAAATCCTCTCCTCCTTATTCCGTTTCTCTTTTGATGCTGGTCCAACCTCCCCCCAACACTCTTAGTCATAGAATTAGACATTTAATCTGTGTTAAAGATGCCTTTGGGAGGCTCTTACCTTCATTCAGATGAACTCTGATGACCTCATCTGGACATTTTCTGCAAGTTCTTTGGTTGTTCCTGAACCAAAAGGGACTTTTTGTCTGATTAGAAGACTGTAACGGTGAAATCAAACTTGGAGGCAGGAACTCAGGCAGCCACAGGCAAACATTGTAATGGCAGGATGTCGAAGGAGATAAACTGGCTTCAAGATCAATTTATGAGGTGGAGTCAAATGACTCTCAAGGGATGGCTGAGACTTTGCCAAAAAAATCTTTGAATAGCAAACTATCAGAAAGTATATTTTCCGATCAGAGCTTTGAAATCGGAGCTTTTGAAGACTGTCAGATATTCAGTTGACTGCACAGCTGCTCAGCATGAGCAAATACAGGGGATACCTTATAGGCTGTGTTTCTAGGCAGTAGAAACCATTTCCACTGGCACTGAGCACGCATTGTAAGTCACCCACATACCAGGACACACTGTTGACAGTGAGCAGCAGCACTGTGAGCGCTGCTAAAGGCACGATGAGAACATCCCCAGGACTCTGCAGGTGGGTGCTGGGGAGAAGGGTGGCCTCAGGAATGCAAGAATAATTGGGAGTGTAAAACCGGCCCTCAACAGGAGCTTTGGGAACTCCAAGAATGTTTTATAAAAGGTCAGCAGAGTTTTTAAATTTCACTGCTGAGCTGTTGATCACTGGGTTATTTAGGCAATGACTTGCACAGGCTTCATTACCCTCTCCATGCCCATGATGAATTTTTTTCCTAAATAATCTCTGCACAGACACTGTGACACACACAGTCAAATCTGTTAGCATCTAAATTGACGGACGCAAAATGACGGAGCTCAGCACCTGTCTTTGAAGAAGAATCTATGTTGCCCACAGTAGATGGTATTTTTGCCTTCAGATCCAATGTAATATTCCAAGCAAGCTAGACAGATAGTCAGACAAAAAAGACAGACATATATCTAAACATATGCAAAAGAGGGAGAGGGACAAATGCCCAAAATGTCTAATTAAATGCATGTCAGAATACGTTCTCCTGGAGCTGTGTATACACAGATTCTGGGGATTTAACTTCAAAAGTAATTTTTACATCTAGGTTTCTTAAGTCAATGAGCTGAAAGTGGAGCCATGTTCTTTACACAAGCAAGATAAACATCCCAGCTTGCAAATTAACAGGTTATCTTCTATTCATTTTAGCTAAATGAAATACATTTGTCTCCAGATTAAAAAACAAAGGAATAAAGAGGGAAATTACTCTGCTCAAAATCCCTCCCATCTTTTTACTCTTATCTATTGTAGAACGTCTGTGGAAACTCTAGACTGGAAAACTGTAAGAAAATACAAGGAACATAAGAGCATGTTATTCCCCTATACGGAATAACAGGATTCACCGTTCTGCAGTCACTATTCTATCGCTTGCTACAGACCCAGTGGAAGAGAGATTAACTGGAACAATCTAGAGTGGCAAAGCTAACTCGTCACATATTTTTGGTAAACAGCTTTACTGTGTTATTTTGTCTTTCTTCATTCACCTTATACAAATTTTCATTTCTGCAGCCCCAGCACATCCTGAGCCAATGCAATAAAAGAGTAGAGGGCTACACCTTCTTTATAAATTCCTTTTCACTTTATACAGTTTAGCATGACAAGTGGTAAAACTTTTAGAATGAAACAGGCTACATAAAAGCTCAGGCACCACACAGAAGGCGAATTGTAAAAGCATATGTATTATTTCCTACTTCAATTGTATCATTGACTTTTGTTCTTCCCATGTTTCCATGGAAGGAAACCCCACACACAGTGTTCACAATGCTGGGCTACATCTTTAGCTCCCAGGATCCCAGACTCCAGTGTCGTATCTACTATTTCCCCCTCCAATTACAGCAACTGTTTTGCAGACAAGTTTGCTGTGTTACTAAATCATCTCTACACTAACTTGTAGTTCAGACTATGCTGAAACCATTTAACATGGCTAATCACATAGCAAATTTCAGATTATGGACAGGATATATGGGGTGAGAAATCCTAGATCATTCAATCAACAAGCATCATATCTGCAGAACAAATAAGTCCAGCTAGTTCTCATTTCAGTTTGGACATAGATCGTTCTTGTTCTCCTTTCAGATTAAGTAGTTCCCTTCTGGATGTTCCATTAAATATAGAGAGCCAAACAGACTTTTCACAGATGGTTCAATACAGCTGCACAGAGATTGGAATATAAGGAACAAAGCTACGAGGGTTATTGGCAACTGTTATTAAAAAATTAATATCCGATTAAAACCTTCATAGCCTACTTGGCAGAACTAGATCACTAAAAAGAGAAAGAACAGAAACATCTTAGAATAAAACACAGCAACATCTGTCAGAGGAGTTAAAACCAGACAATATGCACATTCAAGCCAACGAGCAGTTACTGACAAAACACTGCGTGCGTGTTAGCAGTCACAGAGACGAAATCTTGGTCCTTGCAACTAACCAACCTGTTACTGCCCTTCACTTCATCCAGCTCCTTCTGCAGCCTGGCACTCTTCTCCTCCTCTTCCTGAAGTTTCCTCTTCACCACGCGCAGCTCCTGCTGGGCTTCACACTTAATATCATTGGCCACAACCACCGCTGTCTGTAGATCCGCTTGGAAACGTCTCCACTCTTCTGTATCTTCCTAAAAAGAACAATTGGCACCCAAAGGTACTTGCTGTTAAACACTCTTACTGGAGCTGAGCATGTCACCAGTTATTGATCATCCTTTCAGACTTCACAAGAGGTTTTCCCCCAAAATTCATGGTTAGGCTGAAGCCAAGCTAGATACTTGCCCCTTCATACAGTATTGACAAGATTGCCAAAGAAACTGATGCTAAGCAACCCTCTCAGCTATCAATACAAAAAGCACAATCAGCATTCTTGCAACACCTGCTGATCATTCAGACTTGTGATACCATTGAAAACACTGTCAACTAAAAAGAGGAAAGAGCTCATGGCTCTTTATGTTTTATAAAGCAGGTATGGCCTTCCAAAAGTAGCAGAAATTCATAGGGAAGAAAGAAAAAGTAATTTTTGAAGGATACATTACTTTCCCTCCCAGACAAAGTATCAGTTACAAGTGAAGGAAGACAATAGAGAATAAAAAGACACAGAATGCACTTTTTACAATTGTGCTAGAAAAATACAGCTCTTTCAAGTCCAATAAAAGTTCAGCTTTGTCACAGACTCAGTGACTTACCTTCATTTGCTTAGTCAGCGCCTTTAGCTGCCTTTCTGTATCTTGTTTTTGTTCTTCCAGCTTCATTGCTCTACCTTGGAACAGTCAAAAAGAGAAAAGAGTATTAAACACGTAGGAGCAAGAGTGAAAAGTAAAAATATGAAGAAATATTCATATATTCCTGGTTAACCATATACCCTGGTTTTGCTTCTAGTAATGACACTAAGAGAGACTAAACTGAATTTAAGATGCTCTGTCAATGAATCAGGAATAGAATGAATCACCATTCACTCATTCACTGATTTATTACTCAAAACATCCTTAAAATTCATACTTTACAGGATCACGTGTGCAGGATCACACATTCACTACACACTGCTATGAAGTGTTGCACACAGCAGCAATAAGGAAAATGTGTAGCTCGTTCCACCAGATGGCAGCTCCCCTTCCACGAACAAAAGCGGATGCAAAATTCCAGTTCTTACTAGTGTTTTTCCCACTCAAAAAATCTCTTGACAAAGGCCAATAATTCCATTTTTCAGAATGGGTGATACCTCTTTTACTAAAAATGAGACTTGGAGACTGTCTCTAACATTATTTCTACAGGACTAACTGGTCAAATAGTGATTTATGCACAGGAACAGAAAAAAATGGCCAAGATAGGAGTATTTCTGAAGTAAGGCCCTTTTCACACATCTCAAGACATGCCTTTGCCTCCCTGTTGCAGCCATAACTGAACTTCCAGAATGAGTTCAATTGCTTTTTTTTTTCTTTTCCCCAATTCCACTTACTTTCTAGGTCACTGATGAGCTGGTTATTGTGCAGTTTTATAGCACGGTGCTGTTCCACTTGGTCCTCCAACTCAAAAATCGTTTCCTTCAGGTTTTTTATATCTGCTTCATTCTCTGATGTTTTTTCCTGCAACTTCTGGCTAGTTCTGCTCAGTTGTTCAGCCTGTCGGTCACACATCTCCTTCAGTTGACAACACTCATTCTCAGCCTGGAAGGGAGGAAAGAAAGCAGCAAATCTAACTTTGTTTCTTAATAGACATCACCCATTAGAGATTTCCCTGGGCAGCTCATGGTCTTAAGAACTGATCTTCTGCTCTAGGGAGTTTCAGTGCTAACAAGTTTCAGGAAACATATAGGAGCTATGAATGTCAGTGTTCTTTTCTGGCCATAAAGATAATACAAGATGTTGAAAAGGAAGTGAAGGTCTCCTTTATAAGGCTCCTAATACCCAAACAGCCTCTGTAGGGGATGAACAAAGGAAGGATATTCCTCAAAAGCTCTAAATCTATTCTTGTACCACAGTTTGAGAGTTATATCAGTGCCTTAGGGCCAAAGATGATCAATTTGTCCACATTAACAAGTCTGCTGCTTTTACCACATGCATTTCCAATGGATTCTCAAAACATATGTGGTAGAGCTAGCTACCGCAGATGAGTTCTTTCTGAATATAGGACATCTGGAATCACTGAAGGGGAATATGGTGCACTGCAGTTTGCTGGCTCAGGCCCAGGGAGTAACGCTTCCAGGGCTGGGGGAGATCTCGGAGCAAGAAGGAGTTATGGAAAAGCAAGGCCAATTCCGCTGCCAATTCAGTGAGCAGCACTGGCACAGCCTCACTGAGGGGCAGCCTCGCAGAAGCCTGTGGTCTTGCTTGGGTGTCACAAACAGCCAGTGATGCAAAACAGCTTCATTCGAGAGGGAGAAAGAGGAAAAAAGGGGAAATCTGTGGTTTCAAAAACAAGCAATAAAAGTTTGTTGCTGAGGCTGAGCACTCAGCAGTTTTTCATTTAGTCTTCATGAGCTGCAGCTACGCAAGCGCTCCAAAGCACTAGGGAGATTCCTCTACTAACTCCATTTGCTGTGGTCACCTATTTAAGCTGAAAGGACATCTGGTTTTCCTAAATCACTCAAATCATGGAGGTGCTTTTTGGCAATGCTCTCTTCCTCTGTAACAAGCTAATTTTACAGTTCATCCCATGATCCCCTCCCCATGCAGGAAACGCTGCACGCAGTGACTACCCCTGTAACTGCAGCAGTGGGACTTTAATTGCTGGATTGTGCTATATTAACACTTCTTCTATGAAACCCCACATTACAGTTCTCTTCTGAACACCCGGGATCAGATAGAAAATAGAACCATTAATAGACAAGATTGCTGGGAGCAAAGCCATAAGCAATCAAGAGAGGCAGAGGGAAAACTGCTTTAAAACAAATAATTTCTTTTGTCATTACTTCAATGACAAAAGTCATTGATTCTGTTTTTCCACCAAAACAGAATCCTAAATTCCAATGCTGTAAAAATAGTTTAGTTTTACTGGAATTATCTCATCTGGGGTTTGTTTCTACACCATTAGTGAGCTCCCTATAAATATCATCTACGGGCATTATGCCCTTGGGTTCTCATGGCCAATGATATTGATACTTTACTACTTACTAATCAATTTATCCAGGATGTAATACTTTCTGCTGACTACTCACGGGCTTTTCTCTCCACTACAATCACTAATATCTATTCAAATAAAATCAGAGTGAACTTTTATTAATCCAGTCTCTTGTTTCAATTCTGGTGAATTCATTTCCATTCACTGTAATGTTAAATTTTGCAGAAGATATTAGAGGAAGCAAAGTTTTCAGTTTATAAACGCAGCCATGCTAGAAGTTATTCCTCAAAAAAATGCACATAGAAGTAGGGGTAGAGGCAAGATCAGGAGACCCTTGCTTCCATCCAAGACTAAATAACGCAATGGAAATTTTGGATATTTTAAACTACTGCTCAGAATAAATACCAAAATCGTTTTGTGTGTGTGTGTGTGTGTGTGTGTGTGTGTGTGTGTGTGTAAGAACAGGTAATCAGTGTTATATTTTACAGCTGTTATTGCTTTACCTTAGATAGGAGACCCTGAACATGCTTCAGTTCACTGTTGGCCTTCAGCAGCTCTTGTTTAAGCTCAGTACAAGATACTTCTAATTGATCCTTCTCTGCATGAGCTACTTTCAGCATCTCTTGCACCTCAGAGCTGTCAGCAGTACATCCCATTGCGTTGATCTCCGCCGCCTTTTGCTTCTCGCTTTCTAACTGAGTTTTGAGTGACCCATTCTCAATTTTTAGGCCTTCTAAGGCAATCTTACAGTCCTCCAGCTTTTTTGCCGCTGCACTGTTGCTCTGCTGTTCCTCTTCTAGAAGTTTAACCAACTTTTCATTTTCTTCTCTCAGGCCTTTGATCACCTGCTGGGCGTCTTGGTGCTCCCTTTCTAAGCTCCGCAGGCTACTGGTTAACTGTTGCTGGATGTTGAGCAATTTTTCTCTTTCAAATTGTGCTTTTTCAAGAACTTCGGCACATTTCTGTTCCAGTTCAAGCACTTTCCCTTCCTGAGCTTTACTTTCTTCATTCTTGGATCTCTCTTGGAGGAGAGTCATTAGCTTTTCGTTTTCTTGACTCAGCTGCTCTGCTCTATCTCTGTGTTGACGAAAGGAAGTCTCCAGGAGTGCTTTCTCTTCCACTAGCTTCTCATTTTCTGCTGTCAGTTCCTGCACCATCTGCTGTTGGTCTGACAGCTCCTGCAAAGTGGCTTGTAATTCTTCTGCTGTGCTATGGTGGTTCTCCTCCATTTTTTGTATTCTCTCTGTAAGAGATGCCACAGAAAGGTCACTAATATTGTTTGGAGAACTTCCTGTAGTGGAGCATCTGGAACCTTTGAAGTTGTTGCTGTTGGAGGATGTTGGCCTAGAAGGTATATCTGCTATATGTTCAAAATCAGATGCATCAGGTGACATGGAAGCTTTAGTTACATCGCTGCTGGAGGAACCTGAATTGCGTAGAGTGCCCCCATTCACCTGCTGCCTTGTGTGCTCACTTGTTTCACCTTTCAAGGCATTTTTGGATGGGCTTCCAAAACTAGATTCTTGGGTGGTTGGAGTCGGGAGGCTGCTGTCACCTCCACTGCTTGTTGTTGTGTCTGAGAGAGGAGAGTTTTCTAGGTAAAGCAACTTCTCCTTCAAAGCTCGGTTTTCTTCTCCCAGGCTAGCAAGCTCTTTTTGAAAAGTCCTGTTTTTTTCCTGAAGGGTTCGTATCAATGGATCTATATCAATAGGTGATAATGTTTCTAAGTTTTGGTCTGAAGCACCCATCCCTTCCGGGTTATGTGACCCTTTCTCTTTGCATTTCTTCAATTCACACCGGAGTTTGGTAATTTCCGAGTCTTTTGTCTTTGCCTCTGCCAGGAGTTCTTTAACCTGAGACTCCAAAACAGCTTTGTCACCAGTTTCATTCTCTTGCTTGGACTTGGTAGCGGGTCGTATGTGTTTGGTAGGAGTGGGTGTACCAGAAGAGGTTGGACTAGGCTGAGTTTTCCTAGAGTTGGTTTGACCACGTAATACAGCTCTTTCTCTGGAGACAGATGAGGATATTTCCCGAGGCCCTGGAATCCCCGTGCGCTTTGTGGTTGAAATTGCTCCTTGAAGAGAAATAAATGAAGCAAATTTAGGTTTTGTTTTCATGAAGAAAATAAATCACGTGGCATAAAGGATAGAGAACTCTTTCTGACACCTGAATGGTTTAATAGGTTCAGTCAAGACTGAGTGCAGATTCATGTTTCACCAAGGCTTGTATTCTCTGTACTTCCTCCTCTGCTCCTCCCCACATCTCCCCAAAAGATCTGTCTGCTCAACTTCTCAGTGTACCAATAGAATATGTAGATTGTGCAATATATGAACTGCAAGCCCCAATACCAGGATGATACTTATCTTGCTATTAAAAAAAAAGAAAATCTTTACACTATCTTGTGAAATGCATAATTAAATCCTACTATTTTCTACAAAACAGTTCAATAACTTTAGATACCAGCTTTGACTACAGAAACAAGTATTTATCACAAATGAAACTAATACATTTGCACTGTGGTCAATTTATGCAATCTAGAACTGAAAATAAAAATAAAAAACAACAATCGTTTTTGGGGCTCAATGCCTGCCTGGCGTGACCACACAAATAGGGTGCACTGAGAGGGGGGTTGGAAGAGCTGGGATCCTGGAATCCATTTAATCTCCCCACATTTGCAGTCTCTTCGCTGACGCACATGTGCAACACGCCAAGAGAAACCAGGAACAGTTGAGATCAACGTGGGGGCAGGCTCGCCCATCACAGCTGCGGCTTGCACTGCGAGCAGCTCCATTTTCCACAGGCTGACGCCGCTCGGGGCAGTTTTGCGGTGGCGGCAGCCGGGCGCTGACGGGTTAAGGTCAGCAAGGCCCCGTTTGCTCAGCATCTCTTTTGAGCGCCCGGGGTTTACAAACCCCGCACAAACAGGAGCCCCTCCTCCCCTGGGCCACACAAACCCGCCCGGCACCAGCCGCCCGGACACAAAGAGCAGCTGAAGAAAAGCCCGTGCGCGGAGGCCTGCGCCGAGGGAGCGCAAGCGCCTCTGTGACGGCGGGGGCACGAGCTGGCCGCAGACAAAGGCCGCAGTGTTGGAGGCAGCGAGCGCGGGGATGGGCCCACGCCGCTCCCTTTGGGCATTCCCGTGCATCCCAGCGCTCCGGCTCCTGGGAACGCTGTCTCACCGGCCCGCTGCTGCTCTGCGTCCAGGAGCGACTTTTGCTTGTCCGTCCGAGGAACAAGCGATCGCTGCTCATCTCTTCCTTAGCCTGAGGGCTCCCAACCGCGTGGTCTGCCGCCTGCAAACTGTCTCCGTGACGTGTTCAAGGGAAGATCTATCTAAGCTTTTAATGTCTATGCAGCGAACGCCTTAGGATGAAAGGGAAGAGGGGAATCGAGTGGATTGGGATGTGCTGTTTCCAGCAGAGCTCCTGCCTGCACAGAGGGGCCGAGGATTCCCGCTGCCGAGGAGCAAAGGGCTGGTCTGAACGTGCATGGGGTGCACGAGTGTCCAGAGCAGACAGGTAGACAGCTCCTATATGCAGCACTCGCACGAGCGACACTCATAACACATTTAAGCGAGATGTGCATTACACACAGAGGCAGGTGTACTGCAGCAGAGCCTAAGGGGAAATTTAAAACCTGCTATTATGTTCTGGAGTTTTATTCAGTCTGAAAGGGGTTTTCTCCTATTATAATGCATTTTTATGACAAAGCGAGTGTTCCAAATCACTCATCAGCTTTTTGCAATGCCCAAACTAATGCAGCAGCAGGACTGTATGCGTGTTCAGCACAGGACAGGGCAGTCACAGCAGGTGATAATGGTGCACACCGGCACAGACTGCCCAGCACCAGCAGAAAACGCCTCTTCCTGCGACAAACGTAGCGGTTTTCGTACAACCCCAATGTGCTTTTAATCGCCACCAGATGACAAAGCTGACAAGAGGATCACAAATAGCAGAAGACATGCATATAAAGACAGCTATTAAGCATATTGAATTGGGATTATCTGTTCTTCGCCAGCCTGCCAGCTCGTGCATGCTCCCGACTCAACCTGTGCTGTATGTTGAAGACCACACTCTGCTGATCTGTCACAAATCACAGCGCACTTGCCATCCATCAAGCACCATTAACCAAACTGTTCTTTTCATCATGTATCTTTACATACTTTCCTGTCTCCATCCTCCAAAATAAAGGGCCATACAATGCTAAAAAGATAAGGAGAGAACACACAGAAAAGAAATAATTCCTAGAGCACATGCACATTAATTACCAAAGTACCAAAGCACCAGGCAAGACTGAGCACTGGAAGAAAGTCTTTTATGAGCAGCTCCCCCCTTGAATGCCCTTGAAATCGAGCCGTGCAGCAGTCGCAAACGGAACGGCCAGTGCCACAGCCTGGGGCACCTCCTGTGCAGCGACCGCGCTGCGGGCTCTGTGCTCACCCTGCCGAGCTGACCGGCTCTGAACTCCGTGCAGCTTAGGGTCTTGGGGGCAATTCTCACCTCATCACCTCCTTGTCGACCTCAAGCACCTTCAGACTCAGTGAGAGCTGTGTTGTTACTACCTGCCGTACTATTCTAGTGCAAGGCGCCAAACTTCAGCTTTCAGCAGTGCTTTTAATTTTCACAGTGCTCTAAAATCAAGTTGCTTAGCTTCAAAATCCTTTGATTTGAGACAATAGATAATTGTTAACTCTAGCTGACGTGATAGGGAAGTACAGAGAAAGGCAATGCCTTACCCAAGGTCACGTAGCGAGTCAGAAAGGACTAGGACCCCAGGCACTCCTGGCTCCTGGCCTGCTGTGCAGTTTTATTGTTTGCAACACTTGCAGCCAGGGGATATTCGCTGCCTTTCAGCTGGTGTCAGAAACAAAGTCAGACTTTAATGAGATAAAAGTCAACCCTTCAGGATGATCCTTAGCCATTTTAATCCCAATCTCAGCATGGCTACAATGTTTTCCTAGATGGAAAGTTCAGGATTAAACTTCACTTTTTCCACATAAAGCCTCTGATCTATATTTGATCTAAGCTCCACACCTGTTACATCAGTTCCCACAGGGGCATCCACTTCAGCTAGAAGGGAACACATTCTGGAATGGCAAAAATAATTCCCTCACCCTGCAGCGGGGCACACAAAGAGGGCATTCAGAAGGAAAACCCACGTAGGATGGCTCCTGTTTTTACATTGCTAGGAGGGCAAGGGAAAATCCATCTCAAAAACACATTTCAGTCATGTAAGGCTAAAAACATCAAGGCAGACACATCTTAGGTGTGTTTATTTTGAACAAGGGATATGTTATTTGATTTGCGAGGGTGGCATAACATGAAATAAAAGAAAACTATTCATAGCACACTATAATATTCAAGTCATTATAGGCTTCAAAAAGGCAAACTGTTGCCTGCAGGTAAGTTTGTCCTATAATGATTATCAGCTGCTCTGGGTGGACTCTGTGAAATCTCCTTCGCCCTAACGTTGGCACTGGGGACAAACAGCTATTGCGCTGCCCTCCCTCCCACCTCAGAATGGTTCCAAAAGGGTCAAAGAAACAAAGACGGTGCTAACAACAACAAGCACAACTTACGGACTAATTCACACCCTTTCTGCCAACAGAGAAATCTGTTCCTCCTCCTTTTTTTGGAATCTTTTCTCATGGACTACGATATTTTCGTATTCTTTCCTTTCTAAGCAGGACTCCCGAGAACGAGAGCCAAGTGATCCCAGACCCTGAGAAAGGATGAGCTGGGTGGGCCGGTTGCCTTCAGCCCTTCCCCATCACCGCGCAAGCTGGATACCCCACAAGAGCTCAGGGCAACGTGCCTCTCTGGCATCTCTTTTGGGGTTGTTCTGCAGAAAGATCATGCTATCTGATGCTCTACCTGAGCTCGATGCAGCAGCAAACGAAAGCCTGACCCGAGCAAGAAACCTTGGCAACTCACCACAGTTCTAAATGAACCTCTTTGTAAAATATTAATCATAGAGCCAACATCTTTACAAGACAGCGCAACTTTGGGAAGGTTCACTGGGACTCCACCTAGGTTTTAAGAAAAAGAAAAAAGAAAAAAAAACAAACAGGAAGATGGCTGCAGAATGACAAACATGTTTTAGATAATGTAATAGTACTTACACAGAAACATCTGTTCAAATACGGCTTTCCACTTGCTTAGCAGACATGGAAACTTAAAGAAAAGGTAATTATACCATGAACTCTGTTTTTTGAGGAATTTTAATGGTCTGTTGGATTGTCTGGCCTGCCTGACTACATTCCCCGTATTACAGGTATAATATGCAGTAAGAGGAAAAAGCAACATGACTTAATCGGAGGATGCTGATCTACATAATGACAACTGACAGAGTAGGGAAGCTACTCAGGTACTTGAAACAGAGGAAAAGCATAAGGGACCAAAGAAAAAGAAATAAAAATTGCAATATAATTAAGAAGCAGATTTCCCTGTTTAAAAAGCTAAGCTACCAGAGGATCCAAAGGAAAAGCAGCAAAATAAGCATTTTGATCTAAGTAATCCCTCGTTTAAGACTACAGAGACCTCTGACATTAAAGCTAAAGAGTAAAATTTACCTATTTTTTGTTTTAATAAGGAGAGATGTGTCTAGAGATGTGGAAGGCGAGAAGGACTTGGGAAAAAGCTACAAGTCTGGATCTCAAAGGCTAAGTTATAATGAGAGTGTTTGTTACCAGCAGAGGTGCTCCCGCCAGTGTCCGTAGGATACAGAGCTTCTCTGAATATTCCTGCAACTATAATTGCAATCTAACACTGCTTTGGATTTCTAGAGCACCCAGCAACCTGGCATAACAAACACCAAGAGAACCCCAGCAAATGGCCTAGCAAATGTTCGGGCACACCACACACGATCTACCCGCTGGCGCACCCCTGGGCAATGCAAGGCTGCCTTTTTTGGAACTGTTAATATTGGTGGGTCTGCCAAAAACTTTAGTCACCTGCTAAAGTGACTAAAGTCACCTCCAGTGACCCTCATCTTGCTAAAAAGAAAAAAAAAAAAAGACAAAAACTTTCTATGTGCATCATTATCCCCAAGTCAATCTGGTGGAATTTACAGAAA